TTATCATAAAATCCATAGAAATATGAGACAGCCATCTGTTTATTTTTTCGCAAACCCAACTAACACCAGTCTCTCAGTAAGTGGGACTAATTAACTCTCTTAGCAGCCAGGTTTAGCTTAAACGTTCATCTCAGTCAGTCCACTCGGGTCTCTGGCCACGGCATGCTTATAGTACATAGCTATGTCACATAGACTCACATCAGAGCCTTGGGTTAAGAGGGATATTGCCGACATGATGGTTTAAGGTAGTAGATGTGGCGGACATCAAGCGTTGAGGTAGGCATGGCGGACATCAGGGGTTGAGATAGACTTGGCGGACATCATTGGTTGAGGTAGAGGATGTGGCGGACATCCGGGGTTGAGGTAGTAGATGTGGCGGGCATCAAGGGTTGAGGTAGAGGATGTGGCGGGCATCAAGGGTTGAGGTAGAGGATGTGGCGGGCATCAAGGGTTGAGATAGTAGATGTGGCGGACATCAAGGGTTGAGGTAGTAGATGTGGCGGACATCAAGGGTTGAGGTAGTAGATGTGGCGGACATCAAGGGTTGAGGTAGATGTGGCGGGCATCAAGGGTTGAGGTAGAGGATGTGGCGGGCATCAAGGGTTGAGGTAGTAGATGTGGCGGGCATCAAAGGTTGAGGTAGTAGAAGTGGCGGACATTTGGGGTTGAGATAGAGGATGTGGCGGGCATCAAGGGTTGAGGTAGATGTGGCGGGCATCAAGGGTTGAGGTAGATGTGGCGGGCATCAAGGGTTGAGGTAGAGGATGTGGCGGGCATCAAGGGTTGAGGTAGATGTGGCGGGCATCAAGGGTTGAGGTAGAGGATGTGGCGGGCATCAAGGGTTGAGGTAGTAGATGTGGCGGGCATCAAAGGTTGAGGTAGATGTGGCGGGCATCAAGGGTTGAGGTAGTAGAAGTGGCGGACATCAAGGGTTGAGGTAGTAGAAGTGGCGGACATCAAGGGTTGTGGTAGATGTGGCGGACATCAAGGGTTGAGATAGAGGATGTGGCGGGCATCAAGGGTTGAGGTAGTAGATGTGGCGGGCATCAAGGGTTGAGGTAGAGGATGTGGCGGACACCAGGGGTTGAGGTAGAGGATGTGGCGGACATCTGGGGTTGAGGTAGTGGAAGTGGCGGACATCAAGGGTTTAGGTTGTAGATACGGCGGACATATGGGGTTGAGGTCGAGGATGTTGCGGACATCAAGAGTAGAGGTTGTGGATACGGCGGACATATGGGGTTGAGGTAGTAGAAGTGGCGGACATCAAGGGTTGAGGTTGTAAAATGGCGGACATCTGGGGTCGAGGTAGTAGAAGTGGCGGACATCAAGGGTTGAGGTTGTAGATGTGGCGGGCATTAGGGGTTGAGGTAGAGGATGTGGCTGACATCAAGGTTTGAGGTAGAGGATGTGGCGGACATCAAGGGTTGAGGTAGTAGAAGTGGCGGACATCTGGGGTTGAGGTAGAGGATGTGGCGGGCATCAAGGGTTGAGGTAGATGTGGCGGGCATCAAGGGTTGAGGTAGTTGATGTGGCGGACATCAAGGGTTGAGGTAGTAGATGTGGCGGGCATCAGAGGTTGAGGTAGACTTGGCGGACATCAGGGGTTGAGGTAGAGGATGTGGCGGGCATCAGGGGTTGAGGTAGTAGATGTGGCGGGCATCAAGGGTTGAGGTAGAGGATGTGGCTGACATCAAGGGTTGATGTGGAGGATGTGGCGGGCATCAAGGGTTAAGGTAGTAGAGGTTGAGTAGAGGCATCGGAGGTTGAGGTAGACTTTGCGGGCATCAGGGGTTGAGGTAGAGGACGTGGCGGAAATCAGGGGTTGAGGTAGTAGATGTGGCGGACATCAGGGGTTGAGGTAGAGGGTGTGGCGGGCATCAAGGTTTGAGGTAGTAGAAGTGGCGGACATCAAGGGTTGAGGTTGTAGAAATGGCGGACATCTGGGGTTGAGGTGACATTGCGGACTTCAAGGGTTGAGGTAGAGGATGTGGCTGACATCAGGGGTTGAGGTAGAGGACGTGGCTGACATCAGGGGTTGAGGTAGTAGATGTGGCGGACATCAGGGGTTGAGGTAGTAGATGTGGCGGACATCAGGGGTTGAGGTAGTAGATGTGGCGGGCATCAGAGGTTGAGGTAGACTTTGCGGGCATCAGGGGTTGAGGTAGAGGACGTGGCGGACATCAGGGGTTGAGGTAGTAGATATGGCGGACATCAAGGGTTGAGGTAGAGGATGTGGCGGGCATCAGGGGTTGAGGTAGTAGAAGTGGCGGACATCAAGGGTTGAGGTAGATGTGGCGGGCATCAAGGGTTGAGGTAGAGGATGTGGCGGGCATCAAGGTTTGAGGTAGTAGAAGTGGCGGACATCAAGGGTTGAGGTTGTAGAAATGGCGGACATCTGGGGTTGAGGTAGTAGAAGTTGAGTACATCAAGGGTTTAGGTTGTAGAAATGGCGGACATCTGGGGTTGAGGTGACATTGCGGACATCAAGGGTTGAGGTTGGTGTGGCGGACATCAAGTGTTGAGGTAGTAGATGTGGCGGACATCAAGGGTTGAGGTAGGCAAGGCGGGCATCAAGGGTTGAGGTAGAGGATGTGGCGGACATAAGGGGTTGAGGGAGAGGATGTGGCGGACATCAAGAGTTGAGGTGGTAGATGTGTGAGTGAGTGAGTGAGTGAGTATGGTTTATGGGGGATATGATGAGACCGTACCTGATAAAGGATGGGGACTTTGAGCATGACAATCGTTATCATTCACTCAATGATGTCTAGTCCTCCACCGTATAGGCTATCATGAGGAGTGAGTGAGTGAGTATGGTTTTACGCCGCTTTTAGCAATATTCCAGCAATATCACGGCGGGGGACACCAGAAATGGGCTTCACACATAGTACCCATGTCAGGAATCGAACCCGGGTCTTCGGCGTGACGAGCGAACGCTTCAACCACAAGGCTACCCGACCGCCCTGGTAGATGTGTAGGACATCAGGGTTTGGGGTAGGCAAGGCGGACATCAAGGTCTGATGTATAGACTGTGGCGGTTGATGGAGTTCAGTTGTATGTATCAGTGCATCAGAAGGCAGTCGCAAACTCTGTTGGCATGTTTCTGCAAATAAATAATTCCCGACAATCTAGTCCCTCAACGCTTACTGCAGGGAACGGTTCCATTAAAGAGAGTAGTGCCGATGATGCATTGTTATTCTAAACAACGCATTGTACCTCTGTGAGGAAATATGAGTAAAGACAGACGTATAACAAAGGTTGCCCTGTGGAGCAATTTGACATACTTCATCACAGTGGAGAAACGGCCCCAGTCTTCCAACGATTATGAACTGGAATGGAACATTGCCCCTTCATATAGTTCACTGTGTCACTGTCTACCTTGTGTGTTTCTAGCGACGTAGATGATCTCGTTTAACGTAATATACAGTTTCTGTAGTGTTTGGGCGATGAACAACTATCCAAACTCATCGTATGTTCACTCTCGTCGCTTTAGTTTATTCCTTGTGATATCACTTACTCAATGCGTTGTCGTGCTTCTCGTGTTGTCATACACATCGTATAAACTCATCGCGTCATCGTGTTGTACAAGCATGGCGGGTACTTTATAAACGTAATCCAGGTGTGCACGCAGCTTTACATATGTTATTACGTTTAATTCGAAACTCTATAAATGCATGAGTGAGTGAGTAGGGTTTTAACGCCGCTTTTAACAATATTCCAGTTATATCGCGGCGTGTCAGCTTAATGTGGGAGGAAAGCCCGAAGTGATGCAGGTCTCAGACGTTTACCACTTCGGTAAAACCAACGAGCACGGGTATGGTGCTGACAAACCTAGAAACATAATCGGGGCGAACCGGGATTCGAACCCACAATCATAGGTTTCTGGCGTGCCTAAGGGACGCAACTCTGCACAGCGAATCGCGGCGCCTTAGGCGTCTGGGCCACCCGTGCCCCCTATAAATGCATGAACATTCTGCAAGTCAATTCTCATAAACAAATACGTCAACAATAATAACTTCACATACTGCTTATCTCATCATTAACACGGACAAAAATGTAGCCAAAAATACAAAATCTGTAACATAGTTCAGCGCAAAAACTTTGCACTTCGTTCCAAATCATTATAAAAGGGGACATTTTCATTCTCGGCTTTGCCAGATTTACGTAGTGCAATGCGTATTTCATAAATAGGTGGTTGGCTCTTGTCTGAGGTTCATTGCATGGTCTGTGACACGTCATTTAGAGATGTGATAGAGTCCTACTGTTTTCATAAGGCAATATTGAAGGAAATATTGCAACAACAAAAGGGTGCATTGCTTGCCCAACATGGACGTCTAAGGCGCCACAATTGCTGTGCAGAATTGAGTATCCTGGGCACGCCAGGTTCCTGTAATCGTGGGTTCGAATCCCAACTATGTTTCTAGTTTTATCAGTGCCATGTCGGTACTCTAGGGTTGCAAAGTGGTATACGTCTGAGACCTGCATCACTTCGGACTTTGAACCCAAATTAGGCTAACACGCTGTTATGTAACTAGAATACTGTTCAATGCGGCGTAGAACACAACTCACTCACTCAAGACAAAAAACAAAGGTACGTAGATAACATTCACAAACATTTCCACATACTAGCCATTCTATGTCCATGATAAAATTTCAGAACAGTGACCAAACATTCGGAAAACTAATCACTATGTTAAGAATATCATCCCTTTGCATGACCATGTCAATTGTTCAACGCCTAACGTTATTTGGTTCTGATCAGCCACTACTGAAGTCATCTCTCTGTATTCGACTCCACGCTTTACGTACATAATAGGAATGACTCTTCATTGTCGGTGTGCAATGTCGAGACCCGAGTGTAGGCCGAAAGTGGAATCGATGTAATCTAGCAGCAAGACGACATCCTTCTCTGTAGGTAAGCACGGTAGAGTTGAGAGGCGGTGGCATCGATCAGCAACGTACGCTTGCTTTCCATATTCATTCCCCATTACTTCTCATTGCAGATCAGCCTGAAGATCACAGCGACGAGTGTAGGGAAAGTGGATTTGTCAAGTACAGAGTGGACATCCTGTGAAAGGTAGGTACTCTCGATTAATTAGAGACATTTATGGGCTGCACTCATTCATATTGTTTTGGCCACTGTTGAGCTCTAATAGAGCTTCCGACAGCCGGAATGACAATATGAAGTGTGACGATTATAGCGTTCAGCATACAGCTTTATTAAAGCTGGCGTGTCACTGGGTATTCGTCTGGCGATCTCCAGGTATGGTGTATGGACAAATGGTGAGATCTGAAAACTCTCTCTCTCTCTCTCTCTCTCTCTCTATCTCTCAATATCTGTCTCTTTGTCTCACTCTCTATAGCTCTCTTTCTCTCTCTTTTTCTCTTTCTATCATTCTCTCTATCGCTGTCTCTTCCTCTCCCTATCTCTATCTCTCAATACCGTCTCTTTCTCTCTATTTTCTCTCTCTCTCTCTCTTTCTTTCTATCTCTATATCTCTATCGCACTTTTTCTCTCTCTTTTGCTCTCTTTCTATCATTCTCTATCCCTGTCTCTTCCTCACTATTTCTTTCTCTCTCTCTTTCTTTCTCTATCTCTTAAAATCTGTCTTTTTCTCTCTATCTATTCTCTCTCTCTCTCCCAATCTATTTGGTAAATATTGGTAAATGTCACTTAACCAATAGCTCTGGACATCATGGTACCGACAAGCATACATTGCACTGAAGACAGTACATGTCAAGGCGATCTTTCAGTCAGGTATGATTTAATATCCCTGAAAGGATGCCGTATTGTTCACTTAGCCACATACCGTCTAGCCCTTCATATATTTAGAATAAACTTAGTTTAGCTTTTGTTGCCAACATCAAGGACATTGCACGAAACCGGAAACCATATGGTGAATAATTCAAAGGTGAAAATCAATGAACTGGCTCGCCAAAGCCAACGACATAGCCTTGTCAAGACATTGCATGTACAGGTGTATTATGCTAGTTGATAGTGGACAGACTATTTCACTGTTCCATATTGTCTATAGGCCACACTTCTATAGACGTCACAAGCTGTCGAGTCAACTCGGATCTGATCAAAGACATCCGATTGTATCTTACGTCGGATCTTTACGTAAACGTCATTCACGTGAAGCGTAAGTTAATCAAACTGTTACTAAATTGGATCAAGCTCTTCTTTGTGTTTTAATCTGGTAATTGCGGTCGATGTATTCCCCTCAATGTCTGGTGTGTTGTCTGCTCATCAGCGCCACCTCTGATGAATGTCGCTATTTCCTACATTACAAAGTCATACGGACAGTCCCGATCGCTTGTACATTTTTTTCCAGCAGACGTGCAGATATTCCTTACGGAAATCAGAACGACTGATTGAGTTATTTCCGACTGTCTTATTTGAAAAAAAGAGCTTGATAAACTTCCAAGGGAAAAAATAAATAATCTTATTTGGCCCGGGACTGACGTCCATGCCTGTCAATTTGTTAAGAAGCGAGTATTTGGACAAGCGAAATAATATATAACCCAGGCATAGAAGGCCATAGTTTCCCTTTGAAAACTATTTCGAGGGGCTTTTATTTTACATGAATGATTCTAATGACTAAAAATGAATACGATGAGGCCTCCAGAGCCAAGCTTTCCCATAGAACAGGCTTTGTTCTATCACATTCGTCTTGCCCTGCGGTGAAAAGAACAGCGTGTATGTATCGACCAGTTTGGTTATAATCGCATCTCGTGTTATTTCTCCATTGAAATAGACAAAGTTGTATGACTGTATCCCTTCCCTGGGTCGTGGACAATCGTGTTTATACGTCATCTGTTTAGATGATCAATCATAACGTGTTACAATCTCATGCGTTGGTCTCTGGGGGCGTGTCAAGGTTTTGTCATAAATATATTAATGTGTCGGGTGAGTCTGGTTAAAGGTTATGGTTGAAGTTGATTAAGTGTCCTATAATGCATGTGGTTTTCTTGAAATGGTTACTCCCGGGTTAGAAAAGTTCCTCGGTAACCTATTCATCTAAAAGACGTCTCAATGGATTGGGTGGTCAGGCTTGGTAACTTGCTTGGCTGCGTGTCATCGTGCCCAGATTGCATGGCTCGTTGCTCATACTATCAACCACTGGTTTATCTATCGAAATTTGAGTATTTACATTTTGCTTGACTATTGCTGACAATAAACAAACATGAAAAGGTTATGTGGAGTGAGTGAGTTTTGTTTTACGCCGCTTGTATCATTATTTCAGACACATCACGGAATGACACGCCAGGATTTGGTTTTACACTTTGTTATTGATGTGTGGAATCGAACACGGGTTTTCGGCGTGACAATTCTACTCCTTCACCACTCATCTGGTTCAGATAAAACATCAGCTGCTTTGTTGTACCCAAAGATTTATCGTGCGTTGACTGTATCGTGAACAAAACGCAGTGACAGACGCCATTGTTTCTGCAGACACTTGGCGCTGTCAAGGAATTCATTTCATTTCTTATCTTTGTTGATTTACCAGTTAAAAATTCACTTGTTGAAATTCTAGCCGTTTTGTAAACTTGTATTGTTGTCCTTTTTTCGATGCAACGTGATCTCATGAAAATCGTGAACTGTTTCCTGTGTGATTTACAAAGCATGACTGAGTCTAGACGGCCAAGCCACAGACAGAACTATGATAGGGGATATGATGAGACCGTACGTGATACAGGATGGGGACTTTGAGCATGACAATCGTTATCATTCACTCAATGATGTCTAGTCCTCCACCGTATAGGCTATCATGAGGAGTATGATAACCAACAATCATGATAAATAGAGGTGTTTGTTTTAAGAATCGACGAACGCTGCGCTGTATTTCACGAAGTGTCTAAACGGATCTATCTAGATACGAGGCACTATATTCGGAGATGCGTAAGTTTTCCCAAAGCGAATATTAGTTTTTGAGTTACACAAATCATGAATTATATCATCTAGTATAATCTTTATTGGGAGTATGCTTCGACGCATCAGGACGTTAAATGATCATCGTTTAGCTAGATACCATACCATACAGCGCATTCAAACGTGACCATAAAGTACATTGGTCCGAAATATTGCGGTCTCTTTTAATGATATGTGTTTGTATGGGAACTCACTGTCTGGTGATGATGTTTATAGAGTCAGAGATCAGAGACTGATCCGCCAAGATTATAAATATATTACTCGCAGACAACCCACGTTTTCTAACCTAACTAAGGTCAAACTATCCCCGTGTTATGGGTTTTCAGACGCTTGAGAAACATTCGTAGTTTTCTCGCTAATAACAAGAACAGTTGTAAAACATCACTTTCACTTATAAACACAACTTTATCTTAAAAATAAGCCCTCATCTGATTTTTCACAATGTCTGTGTGACTCCATTACCCCTCAATATAGCGCGAGTAATCGCGATAAACATGGCCGTCCAAAAACATGACCCAACCAATGTCTAAACCGGACTAAACTCTCGGTCCCAACACGTCCGGATTAAACAGATTCCGTACTAGTATATTACACTGTTTACTTTTTATGAAAAACAGCCCATTTTACGGTGTCCCCCACCGTGATATTTCTGGAATATTGCTAAAAGCGGTTTAAAACCACTCACTATGACAAACAGGCGATGTAAATACAAATTAAATCCCTGTCTGGTGATTCGATTCAATGATATGCTACTTGTTTACTGTAAAGACGACCTATGTGAGACAAACTTATCAGTTCACTGGAATAAATAGCAACAAGCACCAGAAGTCCTGGCTTCATAATATATATGTCGAGTTATCCGTGTTCGAAACCAGCAAAGTATCTCTGTTAATATGGTCATGTTCATTCGGGTTTCGATCCCCGGGCACATAAAAAGATGGTGACCCCACCTAGAGCTCTGGATGAAGGGGATAAAACAAGGAATGGTCGGCTCGGTGTACGTAGACTGTGTCTGAGTTGGGATTCCATGTTAAACTGTGACACGCACGCACGCACGCACGCACACTCGTCGCTCTATATGCGCAATACGCGTTTAACCTCTTTCACCTCACCTAATATTCCATCTTCCCGAGGCAAAAGAGTTAACTGACTTTAAAGGTCCAATTTCCACCCTTGCCGAACTTGGCTGGTATTATGGAGTTACATTTTTTTGGCTGGACTAACGAGTCTATGCATCGTCCAAACAAAATCGCGCAACGAAATCGAATTCCGGTTCGTAAATTGTCATGCAGATTTCGGTCGATTTGCAAAGCATGTGCACCGCAAACTCGTTGGTAACAGATATTTCCCAAATCATTTCATGGGTGCTTGCGTGATTCGTTGCACTTCGCGATGTAAGACTCATTTTATCACAATATAGATATTGATTGTCGATCAGATCGTCTTGACTGGGCGCCGCCATTTTGTTTGATGCAAATGAAGGTGATACGAGAGGTTGAATCTGGTCCATAGGAGAGGCATAGAAGGGACAATTCGTTATAGCCACAGCAGCGCTAAGATCGAGCCCACGCATTCCAACCTTGTTCGGCAAGGGTGGAAACTAGACTTTTATATTCAGTTAACTCCCTTGCCTCGGGAAGATGCTTATATTCATTCATTTAGGAACAGTACAATACAGTCTACATGAACAGATAATACTTTTCGACTCAACGTGGTTTCAGGGTAATTATAGTGCCTCAAGTTTCTGCCGCAACATTCACGTGCACCTCACTACAAACTTCGATCGTAAATTGAATTCGTTGCAGCTTCCACTAACCCTACTTTAACCTACTCTTTAAAGCTTCTTCAAGCTAATCCTGGTTTCCACTCAACTAAATGGTTATTACACAAAAACGGTACAACTGAGCATCAAATTATATTTGAAACAAACGAGGCTGAGAGGAGAGAAGCGAGCATAACGCAAAACATAATAATTTGTAATTTTTAAATACCATTTTTATGTTATAGATTTGTGGACTTGTGGTTTGTAGCTAAAATATTTGTACTGGGATTGAATACGTAGACAAACGAAATGATCACTATGATATGAGATGAGATACGCGATACCTTAATTGTAATCACATTTTTGCCACAAAACAAAAGTA